CGTTTCATCTTCATCATCCTGGTAGATGGAAGCAGATTTTTATCAAGAATGTCTCTGTACGTTTTTCTTTGTATGTATGGATCACTTGGGTTGTTACCGACATCTGGTGAAAATTTCATGTCATTAGCACCTCTAGTAATATATTTACTGAGAAAAATGGTGACGTGTTCAATACTTTACCCGCTGTATATGTTTGCTCACAAGCATGTTGTTGATTTTATAATTTCCTTTGTTAGCTGCGGGCCAGCAGCTGGAGTGTTACACATTTAAAGTTTTCCTGATAAACAACTGGTCCTGCAGTCATCCCTATACTGGTACAGGGAGGCTAGCTTTCACCCCCTGATGGGTGTTTCAGACCACAGTTTGACCCCTATGTTTATTAGCTATGTTCTTTTCTTTTTCTTCTTCTTTATACATAGTCCTGTGTTACGTTTCAGCAAAGCAGTATTTTTGTTTTTTCTTCATTTTTATATGACTTATATCAGTCTGGTCCCAGGGAGTCTTAGTTTATATCCAGATTTCTCGTATATATTTAAGTTTGTATTCCTCTTTGACAAATGATGACCAATGATTTGTCTTCTTTAAAAATTTGCAGTTGGAATGTGGGGGGTATGAATAGTCCTATTAAGCGGAAGATTCATATAGCATTCCTCCAAGAAACACACTTGACTAATAACGAGCACCTGAAGCTGAGACATGAATGGGTTGGTGAAGTATTTAGCTCATCCTTTACCAGTAAGAGCAGTGTTGCCATTTTAGTAAATAAGCATCTTCCTTTATCCGACATTGAAACAATTTCTGATAGGTATGGCAGGGCCATATTAATGGTCAAATGCTGCCCCTCCTAAACATTTATTTTCCCCTGTGCAATTTAATGACTTCATACCTCCGGTTTTCTCCTCCTTTGCAGATTGGATTTGTGATAATACAGTCGTGGCCGGTGATTTCAACTGTTATTTATYTTCTAGATTGGATAAATTACCCCCAGTACATAACCCCGTGTCCAGAAGAGGGCTATACTTGACACCTGTGATGAACTTGATCTGGTGGATACTTGGCATGTCTTACATCCTGTAGGGTTTTGGGTATATTAATGTGACAATTTATGGATTATTGAATTCATAAATTGTCCTACCTCGAGGCACCACGCTCTTAATTTGGTCAAAATTAACCMAGGAAAGAGACGAAAAACTGTTAACTTTATTATAATCAGTCTCACAATAAAGCAATACCCCAAAAATTATCTGAGTTCTTTCCTTATCAAAATCAATAAAACCTTATCAAGACACAGAAAAGAAACGTGATCTTATGTTGACACGTTTTTCATAGTCTCCCTGGACTGGAAAATTGCATGGAAACCCATTGCCTTAAACCATTCTAGTTTTTACACAATGATGAAACTAATCAGGTTTAGTTGTGTTAACTTAAGAACTTCAATAAAATATAGCAAACACATTTAACATACCTTAGTAATGTTGATTAGTTTACATAAATTTCTTTCTAGTTTTATGAAGTTATTATTTTAAGCTAAACTTACATAGCCATATTAAGCAAATAACCATAAAACATTAGTTTAATCTACTGATAATATTTTGTTAATATAAATAACTTTTTATTCTAATGTAATTACCCTTCCGGTCTTATAGGAATGATGTGTTGAAGTTAGTGAATGTTTGATTATAAACTGTGAGCTAAAGATGAGGCTAACTGACCTGACTGCAGCATCCAGACACATCTGACTGAGAGCCAGGAGGAAGCCTGAGGTGAAACCAGGTCCTGATGTCAGAACTGCATCGGCTCCCATCTCATGGAGCTGCTGAGCAGTGCTGGTCCTCACCGCTGGACTCAGGTGGCTGAGGAAGGACACAGACAAACACAGTCCTGTCAGTCTGCAGCTTCGACAGGTCTTTGTAGCGTTTCATTCAGTGTGTTGACCCTACCTCAGTCCAGTGTTGATGTCAGCAGA